TTTATTTTATTTTATTTTATTTTATTTTATTTTATTTTATTTTATTTATTTTATTTTATTTTTTATTTGTTTTTGTATTTTTTTACTTTATCGTTTTATTATATTTGTTTTGGTCTATTGGTAAGTCGAAGGTTAAAATGTATTTCTCACACCTTTATTATTTGTCATTGTCATGACAAGACCTTGTACGTAAACAGCAAACAAGCATGCGTATGTATGGATGTGTTTGCATTTGTAAGAAACTTTCACTTTTATTTTGTGTAACGTATACATAGATATTTTTATTTAATTCTTCAGTAATTTTTTTAAATATTATTTTTTTTTTCATAAATATTCAAAGCAATTTTTACCTCAAAATCATTCAACATCTGTTGCTGCTTCAAATATAAAATGTTTTATTTTACAAACAAGTAACTAGGTTTAAAAATAAAATACTTATTTTCTTTATCCCTGTACCGTTTCCTTGCACTTTTTCTGCACAATTTGAATAAAAAACCAAATTTTCCGTTTTCAGAAATCTCTTGCGATGCACACACGTCTAATAAAATATTTATTTTAGAAATTTTTGATTCTAACGTTTTTTATATCCTTACATTTTTTTCACACAAAGTTTTAATAATTAAGTATTTCGTTTGAAAATAACGGCAAAAATCCTTACAGCGGAACACAAAAAATCCTTTATTAAGGAAAATTCGGTGCTCATTTTAATTACGGAGATTGAATTTTTTTCTAAACTTTAAGCGAAGCACAACGTCTAGCAGCGCGTCTCGTACACTACTGAACAACTTCAAACTTCAGTGGGCGCAAATTACAAATCTTAACTTTGCACATAAGAACAAATCGCAAAAATATAAAAACAAAAAAAAATTCAAATGTCTAGAAAACAAAAGGTTTTTTTTTTGCATTTTTTACTTTTAAGTTCAGAGGGGAAAAATTTGTATAGTTAAATTGTAACGTCACACACGCGCGGCAGCGTAGCGACTAAAGCGAGAATGTGGCAGCAATGAAAGCTAGGCGGTGCTGTTGGTGGCGACAGTCGACGATAACAATAACACACAACATCACCGCAATACATCACATAAATATAAACATTGTACATATATAGACGTATGTATGTATGTATGTATGTGTGTACATAAATACAGGTGTAAGTGCGGCATGTACTGGCATGAGATAATCGAAATTAGCACTGAAATACGCGCTTAACAGCAACAACAACGCCAACTAGAATTGACAACAATAGATCGGGTCACACAAAAGCAAATTTCACATAAAAATATTTAAAACACGACAGCTATGAGTGAGTAGTTAAGGAATAAATTGTTTTTGTATAAAAACAAAAACAGGTAAATTCCTCTATGTACATACATATGTACTTACTTCAAAAACACGTAGTCAAAAGGTTGTTTTAAAAATGATCATCAAAAAACAACAGCAGCTAGTACAATAAAGAACATAAATTACATATGAGTATAATTTAAAATTAAGTACTTAGTTAAAATAAAATGATGTTCGCATGCACACATGCAATTACAAACAAAGCCGCACATACGAACATTCATACATACATACATATGTAAGTAAGGCTTCAAATTTGTTTGCGTTTGCGCTTAGCGCCCATTTCCAGTTCGGTGGGTGGCTTTAATCAGTTCCCAGTGAGTGACAACAGCCAGACAGACAGACAGACAGACACACAAGTGGTGCGTGTGTGTATGCGAAAATGATGTTTTGCGAACTGCAGGTGTTTCTCATATACATATGTATGTGCATACATACATACATTCATGTGTATATTGAATATATTGAAAACTTAGTTTTAATGAGTAAACGCCTTACAATTTGAACTACACAAATATGTACTCCTTTTAACGCTTCTGCGATAATTAAGCGCTTTACTTTAGCTTCAGGTGATAATAATAGTTAAACAATTTGTGCCAAAATGCAGTTCCGTCAGGGTTTTTTATAAGCTACGACTATGCTTAAAAGCCATATTTTATTGGGCATCGAAAGTGATAAATATAGTATGGTTTGGATACATAACTACATATGTATGTACATATGTTGAACTTCGGAAGTAAAATTTGTTGCTTAACTTAATGAGCTAGGTATGCATATGTATGTAAGTACATACATACATATACATTTCTATAGAATACAATATACAGTTTAGCAGTTTAGATTAAGATCCTCTGCTTCTCATGTGAGCCCAATTATTTATAATTACTGAAAACATGTACATTAAATTGCATCACCAAACGAAAATGCGGTTTCCACTGGGCTTACAAAATTTATTTTAAATATTTTAAGACATTCACCGAAATATTTCGGAAAAATATTAAGATTTAAGAGAGCTGGACCGATCCAAAAATGGGTTTTTTTATGAATAAAAATAGTTTCTTAAAGAACTTTTTGAAAAACGTCCCCTCAGATGACAAAACAGATTAGGCCTAGAAAATCTGCATAAAAATATTTTAAAATCTTTTCAACGGAATCGTAATAATGAGACTTTTGATGCTGTTTTTTACTTTTTTCAAAGATTGATTTACGAAAAACTGGGCCAAAACTATTCTTATTTAGACTTATGGGATCTTGGTAGAAAGGTATTTTAGCAATGTTTTTATTTCTGTTCAAAAAACGTCAGTCGTGTCTAATTTTTTATTTTTTTTTGTTTCAAATACCAACACATCTTAATTCAGCTTTGAATGTCGTTCGTTCATCCTACCTTTCTCTTTCATCCTTTGAATGAGTTTATTAGCAAAGAAATAAAAGGGGTGAGAAAATACCTTTCCAATGACACCTCTTAAGTCTAAATCGGAGGAGTTTAGGTTCAGTTATTCAAGTTTTTCTTATACCAATCTTTGAAAAAAGTTAAAAAAACAGCATCAAAAATCTCATTATTATGATTCCGTTCAATTTTATTTTTTTTATTTTTTTTATTTTTAAGTAAATTTTTTATGCTTAAACCGTTTTGCCATTTGAGGGGATTTTAGAAACTATTTTTATTCATAACTATTATTATTCATAAAAAACTTCATTTTTGGAGGTATTTTCAAATCGGTCCACCTCGCTTAAATCTTAATATTTTTCCGAAATATTTTGGTGGACGTCTTAAAATATAATGGATTTTATAATTCCAATGGAAAAACAGTACCGATTTTTTTTTTTTGTATGGGGAGTGATGCAGTCTAATGTACATACATATTTCCATTTAGTCAGATCTTGGATAGGACAAAATGCAGCTCTGTGACATCAGTGGCGGATACAGAATTTTGGTTGGCGAGGAGCGGTTGGGGCCCACTTGTCAAATAAGTTTAAGTTAATAAGACTTCTAAAATGTTTCGCCCTCAAATTTCGAGCTATATGATCTACAGGAGGATGCCGTGATGACGTCGAGCATCCGCGCATATCGGAGGTGGGCCAGAGAGCTTCCTCTAGCTAACACTTTAGGAAGACAGAGGAGATGGTTGTTGCCACCCCCATTCGCTGGTCTTTTTGCACGGAAGCTTTCTCCCTCACTTCTCTTTTGGTCTTGGTGGATAGTCTTCGGGGGCAAACCCGGAAAAGTGGATCACGAGCCCGTGATGTTGCTGGCGACTCCGTCAAGCAAGTCCTTAACAGTTGGCTCAACCCTGCCGCTTGCCTAGAGACTTCCTCGAAGGCTGGTAACAACACCTAGATAACAACGCTCCCTGTGGTAACAACACCTAGTTGAATTAAAAGCTTAAGAGCCGTTTTCTCATGTAGGTTTTAAAATTTATCTGCGCTTTAAACACAAATTTTGTTCTGAACAAATGTGTTTGAAGGGCAAACGGCAGTAAATCACTTCAGATTACACCCTCCCAGTAAGAATTTGTCAAGCGAAGTTCTGCAGTGAATCACCAGTGTCGTTCACCTCATTCCCGCCTCTCTTTCGTGAAATATTCTTAATCGTACTTAGAATGGTTACAAAACTCTCCGATAGCGTCTGCTACTCCTCCCTCTATTCTTCTGTTGACCGGTATTCACAGTAGTTATAGATTGTTTCGCTCACCATAGGAGTTGCGATTATCTATGCACTCTAAATTCGTATTCGATTTGGTCTCGAATGAAGAGCCTTTAGTGTTGCCTGACTATTGCTTAAAATTAGGACGCATTCATTACAACATAAGTCGATCACCACACACAGATGTATAGCGTAAATTTCCGACTGAGAGCTTCTGGGAAATTTCTCTATAAGCATCGAAATATTTGTTCTGGTTCCATAAATTTCTGCCCCTAATCCCCTTGGAGCCTTCAGGCTGCCTATATATCAATCCTACGTACCAGTCTGAAGATATGCTGCGATATAGAATTTCTCTAAGTAGCTTTTCGGTTCTTTATCATGCCATAAAAAAGCTACTCTGAACCTAGCCACGCAGGGGCTGTCCCTTGTGTCGAGGTGGCGGGTTGTTTCGAAACAAGAATAGAACTACACACTAAGCCTAAGATACCAAGGGCTACGTGTACCACCAACAAGAGCATACGAGCGTGTAGCTTCTGTTCAGATGCTGCTGTAGAGCTACATACGTTCTTTCTTGTTTGAAAATTTGGCACACATATACGATGAGACCGAACTTGCATCGCTTAATTCAGTACAGCCTGCCCACGGCTGGCCAATAGCTTTATATGTTTTAGGTCGTTTCTTTGTCGGCTAGCTTGGGACGGGGTACAGTTTAATGTGATGCGAAGGGGAAGAGGCTAGCGAACCTTACTGTCTGTATTTTGTCAACCCTCAATATGAAAACGAGTTCTTCTTGAAATATGGATCTGCCATTTATTTATTTTATTTAATAAAACTCCGTATTTATATAGAGGGTTTTGTCATAACATTGAGCCCATTTTGACTATCTTTAAAATCGGATATCTATACCGTTTTACATATTTTGTCATTCCTAAGCAAAAGTCCGGCGTATATACGGTGACCATTCGTACCGATTTTGGCGGAACAATGCCGATTTTGAGAAAATTGTGCCGCTGAATATTTTTTACACCCATTAAATCCGGATTTTTAGTGTTTTCTTTATTAATTTAACAAGAGTTTCCCTGTACTCTGGCTCAAAAACAATTTTATCGTACAATCGTGGCAGCACATTCGTTATTACAAAGAACAAATTATTACAATTAGAATTGGTTATGTTTTATTCTGTCCAACTGGTACTCTCGCTATATTGCAGTCATCATTCTTTTTTTATGGTTGTTATAATTTTTTTATTAAGTTAGGTGTTTTTGTTTTAATGAAACGATTCTAACTTGAATTTAGTGAGTCCTAAAAAAATTAAACTAATTCCCTCAAAAAATTCATGAATATGAAAAATATAAGCTGTAGAAGCAGTGGCGAAAAGATAAATAGGGAAAAGACACTTTAGCATTCTTTGGCTATTCCCCTTTCAATTATTGAAGTGAAACTTCTTTAGCGGCGGTTGGTTGGTTGGGAGTAAATTGGCAAATTCAGCGGAAATTGCACACGGATCTGGTTGGGACGGAAATGATGCAACGGAAGTGATGCAACGGAAATGGTGCAACGGAAATGATTGGGGCTGAAACAAGTACTTCTTGTGTATATGCAACGGAAACGATGCAACAGAAATGATGCAACGGAATTGATGCAACGGAAATGGTTGGGGCTGAAACAAGTTCTTCTTATGTGTATGCATATGGTATAAATTTAACAAAAATTTGCTAACAAAAGGTTAAAGAATAACACTTAGGAAAAGACCAATACAAGAATGAAAGTAAAGGTGACTACGTACATAAATGAAGAATAGGATACAGGCAAAGGTAAAAATAACAACAAAAACAAAGATGCGTAAAGATAAAGGCAAAAATGAATACCAAGGTAAATCTAAACACTTTACTTATATATATAAGAACAAATGTAAAGGGGAATATGTAGCTGCAAAAATGATGTACATAGAAGTAAAGAGAAAGAGGAGGATGAGGATACCG